CCCCGATTGCAACCAAGGAACGTGAAAAAGTCGCGAAGAACTATGAAATGATGATGATGAAGAGGTTGTTTGTCTTGGTTTGGATATTTTTGTTGGTTATGTTCAACACGTTGGTCGACTCATTGTCATTTTTGGCGACCATGTTGTTTTTGAAAGACACGAACACGGTGATTAAAGCGTCGGGTAATGTGGAATTGTCTCCCAAGAGATACGTTCGTCGGATTATTAGCCTCGACGAGGTCAAGTTTGTCAAGAACGCCATGAATGTGGTACGTAAGTACGTATGTTTTTTAAATGAATTATACTATTGTGAAGCATTACTTTTGCAATTTTCGCGAATCGGTATAAACACTTTTGTTTGAGGCAACTTCAAAGATTTTCGGGATAACAACATTCTTGTCGTGTATGTTCATTCATGAAGAGCATTAACGATGTCGTACTTGGAGTCACCGAAGCTGGCGTCAGCTGTTATTTGAGCTCGAGATACGGTAAAATTTATTGCTCCGTAATAGTTAGACAGCCCAACAGTAGCATTTTGTGACTAAAAGAAAACGACTATGAATGTCTCATTCTACATTCCGATTGCCACTTGCAGAAAAACATAACCAAAATGACGCGAAAAATCCCAACAAGGGCTCTAATACTCTGCCCAAAAACATCCGCCTTAGGGTGGCATGCATTTTCAATCTTAGGCCATGCGCAAAACCGGAGGTGAATATATAAATATCAGCAACCAGATCAAATATACATCTTATTTAATTCGCGACATTGAAAGAAATATATATATTTTTTTGTTGCAGGATTTGGCTGAGATGATGGAGAAGGAGAAGCTGTTGAAGGGAATGTGGGGAAATATAGTCGGACTTGTCGTGTTCCCTCTAAGGATTTCCCCTGAGGACGACCCCTTAGCTTACGTGCGTAGAGCTAAGGCGACTATGGATAAAAAGAAGCTTTCGCTCGGCCACAAAGTCGCGTTTGGGTTTATGAAGCTAATGATGTTGTTGTTCGGAAGCAGGGTAATTTAATTTTGCGATCTTTTTCTTTTTTGGAGGTGTCGATTTTTCATGCATTAGTTCTGTTTTTACGAACTTCAAAGTGGAATAAAATCAAATATCGACTTGTGGAGGGCTTAGGTGACAGCACGCGTGTCGACTAGAGTTTTCCGGAATACGACATTGTCCTTCTCGAACGTGGTTGGCCCACGAGAGGAGATAACTGTGTTTGGTCATCCGTTGGCATACATTGCTCCTTCGGTTTTCGGTTATCCGCAGGTCATTTCGTAAGCATATATGAAATATAAATCAACTGGATGAAAACTTTACGCAACGAGTAGTTGTTTTGAATGTGAGTATACCTTTTTTTTTTAATTAATTTTTACGTATATTGTTGTTGCAGGGACTAGTGATACACTACCAAAGCTACGCAGATCGACTCGTGATATCCATTGGAGCCGACGAGAAGCTGCATCCGAATCCTCGTCAACTTTGTGATGATTTGGTTAGGTCTTTCGAAAGAATTAAAGAAGCTGTAATGAAAAAAGGGCTTGTTAATGGCTCGGAGTTTTGCTAAGAGTGTGTGAAGGTTTATGTTTTATATTTCGAGGTACCAAAATAAGGGTTAATTTGTTGATGACTCTGAGTTATGCTGAGTGCGAGGTTTGTATGATTTGGAGTTAGATTTCTTGTTCTGGTTTTGTGTTTCATTACATTGGATCAATGAAATAAATAGCTCGCTAAAGTTGCCGCTATTTGAGAAATAACTTTTTTTTGCAGCGTGTCGCTATTTGTATTCATGTGCAATTTAGCCGCTAAATCTCCGCTATAGCTACAATGTCATAAACGTTTTAGCCCGCTATTTAAACCTTGCATTGGATGCATGACACGCGTTTATGATAATATTATATTTGTACGTGTGTAATGTATTTAACGGAATAAAATACAAAATGAAATGTGAAATTAAAACAAGAGACTCAATTAATCAAAGACTTAAACCTATGTCGATAGAGGCCGACACGAATGGCTGGTCGAATAGGTACGTCTCGAGGTGGGCCCTGTCAGACTTGGCGAATCTATAAATTTGCGTGAGTGGGGGCCAAATTTGTTTTTGTAAGCTAATTATATAGTAAAATTATAGGGTGAGATTATATATAATATAATTATTTTTACCAAAATCTTGTCTCGTCTGAAAATTGAAAATAGAGATAAAAAAAAAGTGAGATAGATTTAAAATTGTGAATGAATACAAGATAAAATATAATGATCAACAAATAAAAATATGTTAGTAAACTAATAATAATATTATTAAAATGTATAACATAAGATGAATTTATTATGTTTTAATTCTGTCATTAGTAGATAAAAAGGAGGGATGAAATAAATAGTACTTTTATGATTTCCTATTATTATTATTTTCTTTAGTTCCATTATGGTAACTCTTCAGAATGAGAAGAACGAAAAATGTCATATATCCAATTCATGTTTATCCTTTTATTTTCTTTTAATTTTTTAAAAAGTAGATTAACTACTAGTCATAAATACAATTTATTTTCATAGAAACTTGTATATTTATGTGCATAAACTTCTATAATTATGTGAAATATTAATTAACTAATTTTTTTTGGATAAAATTTAAAGTGATTCATGTGAAAACTGGAATATTTATGTGAAATATTAATTAACTAATTTTTTTTGGATAAAATTTAAAGTGATTCATGTGAAAACTTGAATTTTTATGTGAAATATTAATTAACTAAAATTTTTTTGGATCAAATTATTTTTTTGGACTTTATAGTGACTAATTGTGGTTATAAAGTGGTTTTTACTTGAGTCTTGAAAATCCCTGGATGTTTAGTAAAATCTTACATGCATATGCTTCCCTTACACAAAGTCACCAGATATAAACATTCAAAGCCTACATGTCCAACATTCTTAAAATGAGTTCAAATTCAAACATATAAACCAATTCAAAGCCTACATGTTCAACATTCTTAAATGAGTTAAAATCAAACATATAAGGTGTGTTTGTAAACCAATAATACTTCAACTAACATCCAAAATGAGAATGCTTTAAAAGGCCACATCTCTCCGTCATGCCTCAATTACGGGAGCATACTCCTTTTCCCAATGATACTTGAAGTCGTGTACCTATTGATCAAGAATCATTTGATATATATCAATGATACTAATAAAAAAATTGATAACCATACATTATAATTGAACACACCTTTTGACATAATGAATCTAAGGTATGATTCAAACCATTGTGTTCATTGCTCTCTTTCCAGGAAGGCCGCTAATGAAAATAATTGTAGAAGTTAGATTTAGTGAAATGTCACTTAACAAGATATTTACTTTTTAACTCTTAAGCATGCACACATAACAAAGAACATATTTGGTTTTACTCTAAAGCATGTACACACCTTGAGAAATTGTTGCCAAAAATAATCCCTTTCCTTGACTATGCCACGAGATGTCCCATATATGAAAGTAAAAGCTTCATGCACCAACAGTCGCTTGTGTGGAACGGATTGCGCTGCAGGAGTAACATTTTTAGCTTCTTGGCACAGTTCCCTGACCGGAAACTCCATCACCAACTACAACATATTATATAGTGTATTAGAAATGCAATGTAGCATGACCAAATCAATTAGATGTTTCTTTTATTTTGTGCTATAGTACGTAGCTTTTTTCTTTTTTTTTTTTTTTTTTCTTAACTAGTAATCAACACAGATGCAAATAAAATATTATAAATTATATGTGTGTACATAAAATTTAAAGTTATAAGTTACATAATGAGTATGTCACATTTTGAAATTTTAACAATTAGTAATAAATGAACAATAAAAATATAAATTGCACAACTTACTTAAAAATCACTTTACTTATTATAATTGTGATAAATGATAATACTTTTTATATTTTTGAGAGAATGTGACCAATTAATTGATTGAAAATTATTATAATTATTATTATTATTATGTGTAACTGAAATTATTATTTCTACAAGAAGAGATTATTGAAGATTTTACAAAAATTCATTGGCATGATTTGATTTTGTATTTAATTTGTAATCTATGATATTAGTGTGTAAGTCTTTTATAGATTTCATCCAAAAAAAAAAAAAAANNNAAAAAAAAAACGAGAGTGAAAAATCAAAAATCTAGTATATAAATAATTAATTGTGCATTAATTTGCTAATATATGATTTCACACAAATACTAAAAAAAAAATATTGCAATACACAATGTCAAACAATCTCATTTTCCAAAATAAAAAAATAAGTGTTATTGATTAGATTCTAGTTACATTTTTATTTAGAATAAATAAATAAACTTATTGGACTTGTAACGGAAATATGCGGGAAACAAAAATAGTTTTATTAAGTATTTTGCTAAAAATCATATAAATATATATATATATATATTTATATAAATATATATTCTAGATTACATAATGAATTTTAAGAAAACTGATTTTTATGGAATGAATTATTTTGGAATTCAATTAATTGGCAGATTATGCATTGTATTAATTGGTTAGAAGATTATGGATCTTATGATAATAATATGGATTAATTATATATATAATTATATATTATTTTTATTTTTCATTGGAAGAGAGGAATGAAGATTTTTTTTGAACAATGGGACAGAAAATTAAATCGGTGGCATCATTTAACAAACAACTAATTTCAAAATCATGCGTAGAAAATAAAATAAAATTTAAATTGTCATTTAAATATGATATAAAAAAAATAATTAACAAAACAAATATGTATCAGTTTCAACACGAACTTCCATGATAAAAATGATTGAATAGTGAGCAGTTACAGTTTTTACTTAAAAAAAATATTAATAATATACATTTGTAACGTCTTCTTTGGAGGGAAAAGTTTTGAGGTTTTACTAAATTTTTTTGCTAGCAATTATATAGATATAGATTTGTTAGGGTTGTTCTATTCTTAAGGTTAGTTTGAGTCACAATAGGATTAGTTGATTAAAGCAGGAAGTGGTTGATTCCAAATACCTTGATTTGTTCTTCAAGATAGTTCTTGGAAATGGAAGGATCCAGCCCTTCTCCGACACCTTTCTTGTCCATCTCCATCTCCATCTCATGATCAAGTTGAGCCATTTGTTGAAGAATGGCAAAAGCCTTATCCTTCACTGGGGTTACCTCGTACTTCATAAACTGTCCACAAAAAAAAAACATTGTTTAAATAATTGAAACCATAATAATTAAATGGAATCTTATACCGTGTGCGTATGTACACATATCTTACCCCGCAACGAATTTCAGCGCCAATTGATTCAATACCCACCACAGTTGTTATATTTTCAAAGTGCTCGTCTATTAAATTATAACGACTATGCATCTCAAGTAATTCATAGTACATGACTCCGATCAGATCCTCTGAATGGCTCCTTTTCCTTTGTGAGAATTCAGCTCCCGACTTCTGAAAGAATTATAACATACTTGTTATTTTCAACAATAATTCGAGAAAATGGAAAACAGGTAATAATTTATTACCTGGTATACTTCTTTTAGGTGTTTGTAAAGCAAATCGAGCATTCCTTGCGTCCATCCAACCGCGGAGCGAAGCGATGAACAGTGTAATTGGATATTATCGAGCTCAAGATCATAACGCTTTTCACAAGAAATAATAAGAAGAAAACAAAACGAATTCAAACACACGAAACAATAACAATATTGTAGCTCTAACTAACTAATTCATAATAATCTACTTACCCCGACTAAGTGTTTCTTCCGCTTAATCTCGCTCTCAAATCCCTCGAGCGTAGTGATTTTGAGAAGGCACTCGCCACACCTACATGCCTGACGGAAATCACGAGATTCTGAAAAAAGGAGATTGAAACTTATCTGGAACTCCAGGTCTTCTTCCATATAAGCTCGCGCATCCGTAACCAACATGCTCACCGATCTGATTTAAGTTAAAAAATTATTACCATTATTATTATAATAATGAAAGTAGCAAACGAAATATGTACACAACATATTATATTATTAGCCATATAAGTGACACCGCAATCCACATCAATAACAATAACAAATGACAGCCCCAACTATTTTTAACATTTACAAAACTTTATTACAACTTGTGTGCGTTCAATGTCACAAATTCAGAGTGTTGTTGGAATCTGTCATCTTGCATTAGGAGTTTATTTTCTGTTGTTTTGGTTTAGCTTACCAAATGTTTTAGTCGCATTCCCGTATTTCCTTATTTCTAGTTTGCGTTTCTTTTAGTAAAGTGGGATAGAGAAACGATGTCGTTTTACGTCTTTGCGTGTGATGTGTACGAACACTATAATAGGGTATTTCTTTTCTGTTTTCATTTTGAAGTGAGAAATATAAGAAAAAGGGCTTTTCACCCAAAACTCTGATTTCGTTAGATTTCTTCATGATATCAATGCAATAGATGATCACACGCAGTAAGGAGGTCGATTATCGAAGGTTTGAGCAATCTCGATTTGAAGCACGAGCTGATTGTGGAGTTTGTGAGCTGCATCTTAGCTCAGAGTCAAAAATGGCGCAAAGACAGGGAAATCCATGGCC